CCCTGCAGGTTGTAGATGTGACCCAGCCAGACGTTTCCCTCATCAGTGGCGATGTCCTCCAGTGCATCTCTGAGATAGTTCAGTTTGTACTTGAAAGGTTCTAGATCCCAGGTGAAGTGGCACTGCAAGGCCTTCAGTTTGGATTCCAAGGCCTCTGTAGAACTGATGAGGAAAATCACATAAAGTAGAAGAAAGAAATTTATGGGATTTTAATTTGCTTTTAACTTCTAGAGGATATGAAGAAAATATGTTTGAAATTAATTATATGAATAATATTTTTAAGGAGGAGAGAAGAAATTTAAAAAAAGAGGCAAGACATTATGATTAGAACAGAAAGAAAAATCCAACAAAGCTTGAACAAGTTCAGTCTAGGCAACTGGAAGTGAAGCTTTCTAGAAGATGTTCTGGGTATTGTTCCAAAAAGTGCTTTGTCGGTGGTTGACAGGTTATGTCTAATACCACCTCCTCTGTTGAGAAATGGTTTTTCCAGGTTAATAAAGATGGCTTCCTTAAACTCTCGCTCAAACCTGTCTTCATTTGCAAGAATTTGGAAGTTGTTGTTCTCAAATGGGTGTCCTTCAACCTTCAGGTGTAGATGAAGGCGAAACTTCTTCTAGAAAAATTCACATCCAGTTGCCTAGACTGAGCTTTTCAAGCTTGGCATGACCTGGACGACTGAGAATCTTCACAGATATGATCCAACACAGGTGGGAATAAGAATTACATTTGAAAATGTATCTGGATTAAACATTTTTGAGCCAATAAAAACACATATCATTCAAAAAGATTAAGAAACAAAATAAATGTATAATCTTAATTAAAAGTGTATTAATTCAGGATATACAACCTTCACTTTTTATGTTTTACTCTGATCTAAAAATGTGAGTGCATAGAATTTTTTAGATTTTTCTTTGAAAATACCAAATTAAAAGCACCAAAGAAGGCAGGAGAGAAATCCAAAACAGAGAAAAGCAAGAGTATAAAAGAGCTGACCTAAAAATGAACCAGAGAAAAAGTCCTATAAACACTATGAGGTATTCATTTTCAATTAGGTTTCCAATATTTCTCATTATTCCATCACTTACTTCATGTTCCAGCTGTTTGAATGTGTGAGGATTTTAATCCTTCTCATGAAATGTTGTCCTAGAAAGTTCTCAAACTCAACTCAGAGACACTTTAATATGTTTGGACGTAGTTGTAGAACGTCCGAGAGGCGCTTTGAATAGAAACAAACTGGCTCAAACATCCTTGGACTGTTTTGAATTTATTTTGACTTTGCAAATAATAAACAAATGATAAATGATTCAGCAAAGCTAAATTTAAGTAAGATATCAAATACTTGTCATGTTCTGCGTCATACAATATTGACATAAGATATGTCAGTTTAACCATTCTAGGGAGAGGAAGTTAAAATGTTTCCTTCATGTTATTGAGGAAAAGAAACTAAACTAAGATTCCACCTAAGTAAGTTTTCTGATGAAGCCAGTTGTAGATATGTTTTTTTTTTTTTTTCAAATAATGCATTTTAAGTCTTACACATATTTTAAGTGCATATTTCTGATTCTTGCTTTAAACAAAACATCTTTTTTTAGCAGAAATAAAAGCTATTATTGTATTATTTCATGACACAAATAATGTCGGGATCTGGGAGACTGTCTTTTACAATAAGGTTTTTAGAAATTCTCCTCCAGGGACCTTGGTTAACTTGATGGCTAATGGTTCATAGATGTTTTCCATCAACCTCATCCAGGAGCTTTGTAATTAGTGAGGCTGTTTACAGCCCTTTCAAGCTTAAGGGTTTTGGCCAGGGAGTAAACTCAAGTCTGGGTTCTTTTTCACCCTTTTTCTAAAGAAGGAGCTAATCTTTGAATTCTCCTTTGTTTCTTTTCCTAAGATTTTCAAACATGCTTGCCGTACAAACCTTCGACACAAGTTCCAAGATCCAAGTTTCAAGAACAATCGCTTGGTTTCCACCTCTGTCTAGCAGCGCCTTAAGTATTGGACCTTATTGCTCCTGGACCGAGACCTGACCCCCAGTCTTTTCCTTATGATCTGGCCAAAATTTCATTTATTGTTGGGTTACTTACTGGGAAGGCAGTGAAGTGGGCGGAAACCTGGTTCACAACTTATAAACACTTTGATTGTACCTATACTGACTTTGTTGAACAGTTCAAATGAACCTTCACTTCTGAGATCGACAGGACGGGGGTTTCCTCGTCAGCCTTTTACTGTATTTGCAATTGAACTCAGTATTTAGCCTCCACCTCAGGGTGGGACTGAGCTGCTTCAAAAGCCAACTTGTTTCAATCGCTTGCTTCAATCTTTTAAGGTTAAATTGGCCCCATTGGATGAATCTAAGATGCTAAAAGAGCTAATTAAATTAATCAGAGAGGAGAAGTTCTACAAATGAGAGAGCAGCTCAGAGACAACCTTTTCCCCAATCAGTCCCACCACTGCCTCCTCCACCGGTTACTCTGCCCAGAGCAGAACCTAAGACCATGCATACCGGGTGGACCCATCTAACTCCGGAGGAGCGGCAGATAATCTAATCTGTTTTCTTAGCTTTAATCAACTCTGGTTGTGAGTGGAATTGAATTGATCATGAGCTTGAAAAACAGGCAAGGATTTCCATCATTCCTCTGAAGTCTCATCTGTAGGTGTTCCATTTGAATGGTGGATCTTATCCCAAGATAACTCACTGAACCTTGTCATTGAAAATTGTCATGTCAGATAACCACAGCATCCCCATTTGTCAGACTGTGAAAGCAATATGAGTCCAAGGATTTACTCTAAAAGGGGCAAGAAGCATAGAGAAGGAGCTCGATGGAGCTTGCAAGGATAGTTGAGAAGAGGATGGAGGAGGTTTGAATCAGGGTTATCCCAATCAAAGTCTTACATGCAAAGCAACTCAGATGCTTGTTGGTTGAGCTGCTGATTTAAAGGAATTTTAAGGTGGATGCTGATTGGGTTCCAAGGAGATGTGGTTGAATGATAATTGGCTGCTCCAAAAACAAATGAGCCTCTGATTAGAGGAGGATAAGTGAAAAAGTTTATTCAGTTTAACTTCCTCCCAGGCCTCATTAAGTAAGTAAGCAAGTAAATACACATAAAAATAAATTCAACTCAATTCATAATATCTAATCTCAGAGCACTTTACAGAGACAATTTAATGAGATCATGCAGTCAGATTGGCTTCCAAGTAAAAAGCTGATTGCATCAACTCACAATCTCCACAGCAATTAACCAATTTGGCATGCGGTGACAGTGGACAGAAAAAGCTCCCTTTTAACAGGAAGAAACCTACAACAAAACCACAACCAGGCTTTATGTGAGGCGCCCTCTGCCAACTTCGACAGGGGATAAATAGTTAATCAGACAAGCTCTAAGCCAGCTGTCATGTCAGAGTGATAAAATATAGCACACTTAATTAGTCACATTAAAACCTGAGCCTTAGCCATGTCTTTTTGTTCAGTGTTTAGTTTGCTGTTTTCCTTGACATGATTCACCTCTCACCTGCCCTCAACTGACTCACCCTTTAAAGAGGCATGTGACCAAAACCACTCTGACTAGGAAGGTAACAATCCTTTTGTTAATTTTCTGTCTCTGTTGGACTGGAGAGATCTATATGCAAATTTCAGGCCTTTCAAACGTCAATAAAAAGTTCTAAATCTGACATCTAGATAGGTTCAAATTACCAGAACCAAAAGCCATGAGTATATGAATTTAAGCATTTATATTCAGCTGACAAGCACAAGAAATGATGATAATATCAACAGCTGCTTGTTTGTAAATCTATAAGCTGATTTAATTTTGAAAGTAAATGGTACACATAAGGGCATGTGGTAGTAATGCACACTCCTTGCCAGGGTTGTGCTTGTACAATCAACAGTTCTTTGTTCACATCCTTTAGGTAGATGTGGAACAGTGAGGTAGATAAACAGACTTTTAATCTTCTTTGAATGAGTTTCTCTAGAAGAAAATATGTGTTAGAGGTAAATGTGAGTCCTCTTCTGTTGAGTTTCAGTATTTATTTTTGACAGACTTTGCTTTCTTTACTCCTTTTTCAAACTACCTGACCTCCTCTTAGATTTGAACATCCTCAACATGAAAGCGGTGTCTTTTGCTTTTGATTTAATTTAATTAATTTATTTATTTAATCAGGACAGAGCACATTAATGAACAATCTTATACTTCTGTACAGATTGTAAATAAGCCAGATTATAGTATAGTTGCTAATTTACATCTGTCGTCCTGAGGCAGGAAGACAAAACAACACAAGATCACATAATGCAATATCCATCAAAACACATAGACACACGTTCAGACAATGACATTACAACAATAAAATTAGTGAGTGCATGACTGGGAACTTTTAAGAAACTGTTTAAGGTGCCTTTTAAGATGCAGGTGAACTATCTGCTCTGTGTTGATGGATCTCCTATGCTGTACAATGAATTAATGCAGTTACTTGATTTCTCAAATACAGTATAAATGTCAGCACACTCCTATCTGTACCAGATAAACATCGCTTTTCCTCCTACAGATGTTGCTGTGTTTCCCCAAAATCACCATCAGTTGTTGGACATCCAAGCCCATAAAGGAACTTGGAGGTTTTTCATTCTGTTGTTGAGGCTTTTCCATAGACTGACATCTTTGACTGAGATAAATCTTTCTTTTTAACTTCTTCTGCACCAATGTTTGGTTAAAAAAAATAAAATAAAATAAAAACTTTTCAGTTACAATGCATATTTATTTTTCTCTTAGTTAATCTGTTCTGCAGGTTAGATCATTGTTTTTTTC